AGATAACCCCTCCTTCAGATAAGGCAGCTGAGCCCTCAGAGAGGCACAGGGCCTGTTTGAGACCATCTGGTGTTGACTGTGCATCCTGAAATAAGGGTAGCGAGGGTGACTGGGTGCAGGCTCAGGGGGCTCTGTCTGGTGATCAGTCGTCTAGTCTGAGCTGAAGGAGATGGGGTGACCCAGGGGGATTGAGTGGGGGGAAAATCAGCCTGAAGCGAAAAGCAACAGAAATAGAAGGGGAATCCTGGTAATTGAGTTGCACCAAAAAAGGAAAGATCAATATTTTACTGTGAGTGAAGCAACCAGCTTCCCTGGCAGCCAGCTCAGCGGCCCAGCTGTGTGTGCTTCAGCCACCACAGTCCCTGCCAAGGACTCTCTTGTGGCCTGAACAGAACAGCTCCTGGGGCAGCCCAGTCATGGGCGATGCATGTTCAGCCGGGTGAACCTAGTTCATGAACGCCATGTGTGGGTGGTTATTTGCTGAACTCACTGTGTGACCTCGCGCCCCTCCTCCCTGGGTCTTAGCGTCCCTTTATAATGAAGTACTCGGTCAGCGGAATGCACCCCTGGATGCATTGGTAAATGGTTGTCTAGTGTCTAGGAAGGTTGAGAGTCTTGGTGACTGTGACAAGCGACCCCAGTGATAGGATACACAAGAGAACGGGGGTTGAAATAGCACTTCAGTGCAGATAACCCGGTAAGAGCCCCCCTGCAGGAATGAAGCAGCATGCAAAAGCTGAGACCCGGGGTCGCTGAGACCTGGGATCCAGGAAGTTTCCACCAGTTCAAATGTCTTACCTCTGAGTCTCAGTTTCCTCAACCGTAAAATGGGGGCTGTCGTAGTAGCTACTGTTAAGGTAGGTGTGAGGATTACATGAGACTACCTGTGGCCAGAGTTCAGCAAATCTGTCACTTACAGCACACCCTCTGGGAATCCGGCAAGACTATGAATACTTCTCTGCACAAGTTATGCTATTGTTTGATGCTATTTACTGATATAATTGGCACTTTTATAATAATTTGACAGTGACCTTGCCTGTTTACATGGCATTTCCCCATCACTCCTTTCGGGGAGCTGGCTCTTCGAAGAGCCCTGTGGGAGTAGCCTGGGGCACAGCCCAAGAGTGATCCAGGGACCTTGCAATGGCCCTCAAGACCCCCCTCTCTTTGCCTGTCACCAAGCACCCTACACCTCTGCTCCAGGCTGGCTTTGCCTGGAAGTAGGGGGATGGACAGCTTGGTCCCACCAGGTCTCCCAGCCCAGGATGTTACAGACTCTGAACTACAGAATCCAAAACCATTCCTGCTGCCTCTTAGGTGAATTTGAGGTGGGGACTCTCAGCGGGCATTCAGTGCGCGGTGTTGACTGTGCATCAGGGATAAAGGCCTAGCTTCTGACCTTGAGAGGACTGTGTGGGCTGAGAGCAGGGAGGCAGGCTTGCCAGGTGCCCCAGCCCACCCCTGCATCCGTGGACTCCCTACAATGCCAGTGACTGGAGAACAGGAGGCGAGATGGTGGGATGCCAGCAGGACTGGTAGGCGGGCTCTCCAGCTGCAGGTGGCACCTGGGCATTGCTATTCTCAGCAGTCACGTCATTGCCTGGCAGTGTCAGAGGCTGCCGTGGCTGGGGTGGGGGCAGGGGGATGCTGCAATGCTGAGGAGGCACCAGCCTGCGGGAACTGGCAGAAGGCCACCTTTCTCTTTCACTGGAATTCCTCAGATCTTTCCCAGGAGCCCACCAGGTACCAGGTTCGGGGACCCACAGAGGGGACGATGCACAGCCTCTTCCTACCCTTCCCCACAGACTCACACCCCAGTGGAAGTGCCCACAGGACCCTTCTCTAGTGTGACAGATGCAGCGGGGGCCTGAAGCCCTGGTCACTGTGGACAAGCAGGGTCTGCTGGAACAGAGGCACAAACAGGACCACCAAGCTCAAGGAGGGAGGACAAATGCTTGCATAGGGCTCTCCTTGCTCACAGCTCATCTTCCAAAACTGACTGGGCATGTCCCCATGGTGCCAGGCCACCGGCAGAGACCACAATTTCAGACCCCCACAGCTATCACCCTGGAGAAGAGCCCTGTGGGCAACCAGAGAACATGTCCTTATGAAGAGATGAATCCCCCTGCACGCACGGGCTGAGGGGTGAGTCTGCCATGACAGTGTTAGCAGTGACAGCAGTGACAGCAGCCCCTCTCCTACGTGCTGTGTTCCACAACTTGCAAAGTGCTTTCATAGCCACCACGGCAACCCAGCCTGAAAGGGGTCTGGGAAGAGCTCATCTTTGCTGACTGTGCTTTGGAGACTAATGGTGGTTACAGGGGGAGGTGACCAACAGGTGTGAGAGTGTGTGCACATGTGATCAGGTGTGTGGTTAACCAGCAAGCAGGAGGTGGCCAGTCCTCACTTGTTGAATGAATGAGTGAATGAGTGCTTCCACCTGTGCTGTGGAGGGGCTGCCACTGCGTTCTGCATTTCAGGGGGATTTAGAAATGAGCCTCTGGAAGAAATAGCAAAAAGTTGAATTTCCAGTGTTGGAAATTTTGGGGTGGGAGCGGCGGGGGTGAACTCTAATTTATTAGAAAAGATAGCCGTTGCTGAAAAAACTAGGAAAAAAAAACCAGCACTCTCAAGTGGAAGTCACTCTGGTAGAAGACCTAAATTATGATGTATTTATAGAGAACAATTTGTCAAGTGTTATCAAAAGATTTAAAAGTTTGGATGTTTTATATTCATTTATTCAACAAACACTTCTGAAGATTCTACTATGTGCCAGTCTGGGTGTGAGCTCCCAGGTCAAACAAGGATCAAAAATAGATATGATCCTTGTCCTCTGGGAACTTGCTTTGTAGAGAGGAAGATGCCAGTAAATAAAATTATCATATAAATGTATAATTACACATTGCAATTAGTGATTTGAAGGGAAAGTATAGGGTGCTACAGGACAGGATAACAGGAAGGGTCCTAATTACCTGGGAGTGGCAGGGACAGGCTTGTCTGGGGGAGAGACATTTAATAGAGGTACAAATGGAAGCCTGAGGATGAATAAATGTTGTCAAGTGGTAAGGGGGTCGGTCAGAGAAAAGCATTTGAGAATAGCGTGTGCAAAGGCTCTGGCACAGGAAAGGCTTTGATTTACGTGAGTTGCTGACTGAAAACCATGAGGCTAGAATGTGACAGGAAGAGTGGGAAGAGATGGGGCTGAAGGTGTTAGGTCATATGGAGCCATGTTACAGAGGTTGGATTTTGTCCTAAGTGCAGTGACCATTATCGCAAGGTTTTAAGCAGGGGAGTAGGTAACACGATCCGGTGGGAGTTTGAAAGTGAAAGTAGATCAATTAGGAGACTTGCATTGTCAGGGGGCTGACGATAATGATCTGACAAGGTGTGATCCAAGGCTGATGTTGAAAAGTTTGTAGCTTTGGGACACTGTATCCATGCAAGATTTGGGCTGGGTGAGAGGGTCAATCCCAGTAATGCTGAAGAGGCGTGCAGTGGGTGGGAAGGGAGGAAGGATTTGGTCGGGGGGACATTCAAGGAGTGGTATTGGAGGAGGGGTGATGACGGGGTCCTCAGCATGTCCGGGGGCTGGGGGCTGAGGTGGGACTTGGGAGAAAGATCACTGCCAATGAGGACCTCAGGGGTCTGGGAGACTAGCAGGTGGACTGGCCATCAACACAGCTGTGGAAGTTCCTCAAAGTGAGTTCAAATGGCAAAAAGTTGGAAATAACCAAAATGTCCAACTCTTAAGGGTGCTTATGTAAATGATGGTATATCTACTGGGCAGGGTATATTGTAACCACTAAAAATGTGGGGGCTCCCCATTGGGCAGTGTGGTGTTTCTGCTAAACTGTTCAGCAGGGAGAACCTTCCCAGCATCAGGGGAAGGTTCTCCTTTGGACTAAACATTATTTACTAATTTATTTTTATTGAACTATAAGGTACAAATAGAACAAAAATGCCTCCCAGCCACCAGTGGACAGCTCAGTTCCCTGTGCAGCTAGCACCTGGATCAAGAAACAGGAAGACCCCCCCCCCCCGCCATGTCAACACCTCTTCTTACTAAGTTCTGCAGATGTAGCCACTCCCTTGACCACGATTGGTTTTGCCTTATGTCTTATTGGATTTATAATTTTACATTTTTGAATAATATCTACAAATGTGACGTAATTATTTCTTCCTTGTGGGCAAATGGAAATTTGACCAAGGATCTCACGTAACTGTAATGTTAAAAATAAGTGGTTAAGGGCCTCCCTGGTGGCGCAGTGGTTGAGCGCTGGGTTGCAAAGCTGCCTGCGGCCTCTGCGGCGCCGGTTCAATCCCCGGCTGCTCCCCGGCCACTGGAGGAGGGTCCCACATGGCGAGCAGACCTCTCCTGCCGCCCGCTGCTCCCCTCAGCAGTGTACTTCGGTCCTTCTGCCTGCTCTGCTCCCTGCCCTGGCTCTGGTGAATTCTCTCACCCTCCGCGCTTCTGACTGTACCCAGTGCTTATATAAACAAAACAAACAAATAAAATAAATAAATAAATAAAACATGCCTCTATAAAATTTAAAAAAAAAGTGGTTAAAATTATGTTTTAAAGAAAAGAGAAGTGGATATAGTAGGGTTTGGGTTCATTCTCTTCTAGGATTTTTGCAGTGAGCTTTTGCATATTATTTTTATATGAAAGAAACCACTAAGTAAAAAAATCAGCATTCTTTCTCTTTCCTTGGGCGAGTCTCTGTGGGAAGACTTGGTGATGGAAGCTGGGCTTGCACACACTGTGTTCTGAGCCCTGCTGGATTTGCTTTTCCCCACTTATGCTGTCAACGTCAGGCGCTGCAGTGGCCCGGCGATGTCGAGGGCTTGCTTTAACCTGGGTTGATGGGAGGAGGGCCAGGAGGAGATGTGCCAGGTGAAGAGCCCTTCCTCCCCGCTGCCCCAGGTTGGCTCACCCCACTCCACGAACCCTCTGGGGCATCTCTGGGTGCCTTACTCTTGTCCCTCCTTCCTTCCCACAGGTGGAAAAACTTGTGAAATATTTGGACCCCAACGACCTGGGGAGAATCAACTTCAAGGACTTTTGCAGAGGGGTCTTCGCCATGAAGGGTGAGTCTTCTGGGGGAGGTGTCCTGGGGCCTTTCTCGGGACCCCATCCAGTGGGGATGCGGGCATGGCTTGATTCCTCCCTATTGGGGTCCCAAGAGCCCAGAATGGGTTCCAGAAGTGGGCCCTGCCCCCTGGCTCCCCATGGGGGCTGAGGAGCAGGGTCTTGGGCTCCCAGCATGGAGGGGCTCTGGGTGCCTGTGCAGTTTTGCCAGAGTCCCTCACCTGGAGTCAGGCCTGCGAGGCCCGGGGGACGGTCACTCCTGCCTCCCCATTGTCTGTGCCCCGCTGGAGAGGGCTGCCTCTTTGCTCTCCTTTCCTTCCTCCCGGCTACCCCTGAAGGAGGTCATCTCCTCCGAGGTTTCCCAGGACATGGGACTCATAGTTTTAAAACCAGGACAGCTCTGGGCAAACCTGGACAAATCTCACCAGCCTCCCTCCCTTCTAAGTTGCTTTTATTTGTTCCCCACCCCCTTCCTCCCTGTCTTAACTCCTCCTACTTCCTTCCTTTCTTCCTTGTCTCCCCCAACCTTATCTCTAAGGGGGAAATATACTCTCCCCACTCCCAATTTAAAGGCCAGTTGTGAGAGACCCCAGGAATCAGATATGGCTGACTCTAAGCTGGAGTAGGTGGCTCAGGTCCAGCCCATCGAACTGGCTAAGCCCCCACTTCTCAGCTGCAGCGAGAACAAGGTTTCCTCAAGGAGTCATGAGGTCTTCCAGTCACCAGTGAAGGAAGCTGTGTCTCCCTGTTGTATGGGTTAGATCAGGAGGAATCTGGGGCACCTCAGGGTTCTGGGAGAGGAGAGAGGAAGCAACAGAGGTGAGGAGCGGAGGGAAGCGAGCTGAGAGGTAGGGTTCTGAGTGGAGTTGATTCTATACAGCTGCCGCTGGCCACACCTGTCTGGCCTGTGCTGTGCTAGACACTTTGCTGGTCTGACCTCTTCTGTCCCATATGACTCCACCCATGTAACTGAGTAAGCGATAGACCCGTCTGGACGGCGTCCCTATCCTACATATTCTGGAGTTTGCAGGGCTACAGAGAGCCTCAGCCTTGGAGGAATGTGTGCATTTACAGTCCTTATGAGCCAGCCAGGGAAGTAGTGTTTTATGTCCCTTCCTCCAGGAAGGCTACCCTGATTACCTTTGCCCAGTCAGTCCTATACTTTTGGGTGTCTATCATCTGTGTGTTCCCTGTTGGGGTTAGTCCTAGTGGAAGGCAAGGACCCGTCTCAGGTCCTTCTGCAGAGCCCTGCACCTGCTTCTCCACAGCCTGCCTGGGTGCTTCATCCCTGCCTTTGAATGATGAGTTGTCTCTTAGAGACTCACTCAGGTCACCTGCCTCACCACAGCCCTTCTCACCCATGATCCATTAACTGGAGGTGAAACTGCTGAGCCAGGCTGAGACTCTGACCCTCACCCTCTGTCTGCCCGTCCACAGGGTGTGAGGAGCTGTTGAAGGACGTGCTGTCCGTGGAGAGCGCAGGGGCGCTGTCCTGCGCTCCAGAGATCCCTGACTTCGTGGAGCAGGTAAGAAGGGTGGTCTGAGGGGCTTCGGCTCAGAAGGGACATGGGAGTCTCCTACAGCCCCGCCTTGCCCGTCTTGGTCTTTTGCTTCTGCTTTGGTACCTGGGAGGCCCCAGGACAACCTTCTGAGGAGCTTTTGGCTTTGCTTCAATGTCCAAAAGAATAGTTTTTGGAACCAGAGCCACAGCAAAGAGCTGGGGGTTCTCATGAGCAACTTTACCCCTCTCCCCCACCCCCGCCGTGGTACTGAGGAGAAATTAAGTTCTGAGAGGGACAGTGCCTGCCTTGAGGTCAGTGCAGGCAGCTCCCCATATTTTTTTCCTTTCTTTCTGTGCCATACCCACCAAGCTAGCATGTGCCTGTGTGGCTTTTTCCCAAGTGACAACAACCAGTTCTGCAATCCCCCAGTTCTCTGATACCATCTGGGGGTCCAGCAAGTTAGTTTAAGTCTGACACTACTCAGCATTAGTGGAAACCCCAGCCAAGGGCTCAGTCCCATAAGATTTCCCCCCACTTCAGGGTAACCACAAATGGGGTGTCCAGGGTACCCACACTTCTATTGAGCTGACCACAAATGTGGGGGTTCCCATGATCCCCCTCAGGTTTAGCAATTTGAACAACTTAAGTATCAGGAAAACACTTTTATGATTATTGGTTTATTATAAAGGACACAACTCAGAGGTGGGCGATTTCCATGCCCTCCCAGGGTGCACTACCTCTCAACCCTCTGTGTGCTCACCGGCCCAGAAGTGCGCGGGGTATCTGTTCTCAAGTTTTATAATCCCTTCTCTAGCCCCCTCACTCCGGGAGATGGGGTGGGTGGGGCTGAAAGTGCTCACCTTCTATCACCAGTTTGGTCTTTCTGGGACCAGCCTCATCCTGAAGCTGTTCAGGGACCCTGTCCCAGTCACTTCATTAGGTGTGTTTGAAAAGGGTTCTGATCTGGAAGTTTGTAGGGCTTTTGGAGCTCCTGGTGATTTATTGCAAAATCTTGAACTGTTTTTCCAAAAACCTACCATTCCATGTGCTTCTAGAAAGAAGTACAGCTCCTGTCACAGGCACTGACAGTCTCTAAGGCCACTTCAGCCGAGGCACCCCAGAGCTGGAGGGATTATCCTGCTTTCTCTTCCAGGCCAGCTCTAAAGCCTCTTCTCTGTTTGGCGCCTCATCAGACCCAAGACATGAGTATTTTCTATAGCTGAAGGAGGCCTAGGACCCCAGAGGTGACTTTGGCTGATGGGATCCACCTGGGTGATGGGGGCAGGGATGGAGTAGGCGATGGGGGCTGTCCAGAAGGTGATAATGATGGAGGCTGCCCAGTGAAACAGTTTTTTTTGGGGGGGTTTCTCCCTGGATGGCCGGGAATCAAACCCGCACTGCAGAGGCTGCGGGGAGCTTCATAGCAATGCGCTCAACCCGCTGTGCCACCGGGGAGGCCCCCCAGTGGAACAGCTTTTGAGAAAGCCAAGGCTCAAAGGTGGCAGAGACCAAAGCCAGGTACCACTGCAGCCTGGAGCATCCAGAAAGGGGTCAGATGTCTGGGTCTCAGGGTGTTGTGTCCAGAAGGAGGGTCCTTAGGAACAGGTGAAGATTGCTAAGCTTGAGGCCTTCTTGATGGGTCTAGCGGATGTGCGGTGAATATGCATTTGGCCATCCCATTAGGCCATCCCACCTAATGGGATCAGGACCATGCCAGAGTCCCCAGATGTGTGGTGAACACTGATGTCCCTAAAGTTTTTTGGAGTGGACCTTTATGGTTTGCTGATCAGGAAGAGCTGTGAGGTCATTCCTGAGTCCCTTCTCCACTTTTGGCATTGACTACCCTGCAAACCAGAACTCTCAACACTCTGAGCCTGAATTTCCTGTGCTGTCAGACAGGACTGTCAGGCCATCTGGAGGACTTGTGAAAATTTAGCGAGAAAACATACTCTAATAAGGAAGAATCCCCTTCCTCCTCTGCTGTCTTGGAGATTAGTGTGATAAAGCTGTGTGCAGCTTTCCTTTCTCCTTTGGATCCTGGTGTTTCAAAAGTGTGTCAAAATCAAGGCCTGCCCATGAGAAGTTGTAAGGCCAAGTGTGCCCCCAGTGGTACCCTGACGTTCCCCCAACTTGAGGGCTGCTTTTGTCCCCCCCCCCATGAGGCCAGCCATGCTTGAGAAAAGATGGTGCACGAAGAAAGAGGTGAAGAGCAGACCTCCAACAGAATGCTCTGCTTTCGAAGGCAATACTGGTTTTCCAGAACACCGAATCTAAAGGTTATAGAAAAGCAGAAAGATCATGTCAATCTAATCCAGGCAGCCTAGTTCTCCCTTTATTTCCCCTCTCTCAGTTTTGCTTGGGTTTCTGTTTCTTTTGATTTAAGCCCCTCCAGGGTGACTCCTTTCTGCTGTCTTGGAAATCAGGTCCTTACATGTGACTGGCCAGAGCCCAGCGATCGGCTATCGATCACTGGACACCCAGGGCAGCTTGTTTGTGAGCACCAGGAGGGTAGCCTGGTTGACCGGGGCTCTGCGCTTCTTGTCACTGGTTCTGGGTCCTGGCATGGGCTAAAGGGGCACAGTTCAATGTCCAGCCTGCTGGGTCAGTGATGTGACATGAAGGACTCTTCCTGGCTCAGGCTCCGGTAACCTGCAGCCAGAGGAGGCAAGACCACAGATTCTTCAGGTTGGGGGCGCAGCAGTGGGTAGCCTGGACCAGGCCCTAACTTGCAGGCTGCGCCCTCAATGCCCTGCTGTGTCTCCACTGTCCCCTAGGGGTCAGCTTGAGACTAACCAAGCCCTCAGGAGCCTGAATCACTGCTGTGACTTCCCAGGTACCTAAAGGGGATGAAAATCTGAGGAGTGGTACAGGCACCATGCAGGGGTGTCAGGAAGGACCAACAGGAGCACCCCTTTTCCTTCTACCCTCACAGTGAGAAGGCCTCTGATTCAGCACCTAACTGAAACAGTGAAATGCTTTAGTGATGAACACTGGGTCTCTCAGCAAGGGCTCCGGGCCTGCTAGCCCAGACTGTGAGTCCATCAAGGAGGTCTCCAGACCTGTGTGGCGGGAAGAAAGAGTTGGCCCCTGAGGCACTCAAACCAAAGGAAATGAAAATCCGAAACGCGTGAAGTCCTAGAGATAGAAAATCAGGACAGGACTGGGGTTGCTGAGATTCTACATGACTTGACATGTTCTTTCTGTTCTCTTCTATAGTGTCCAGATTCTTGTTCTGGGAAAACAATATGCATCCCTGATTGTGGATCTCACCCTCCCTGTGTCCTCAGAGCCTGTGACTTCTGGCACAAAAGCAAACAAAAACCCCACCTCATTGAGGGCTGAGTTAACCTGACTGCTGTGTGAGTCTCCAATGCAGGGACTCTGAGGTCCGAGGGGAGGCCGGGTGAGATCTTCAGAATGGCCTAGAAGACAAAACTTGTGCTGGATCTTAAGGACAGCCCCTTTTGCAGGCTACTCACTGCCCTCCCCATTTTGCGGCTCCCAGTCCATGCGGTGTAGGTCTTCTGGTGCAGGGAGCGTGGGCAGGCATGGAGAGCCCCACCGCCAGGCCTCCAAAGCAGGGGGACAGTGAGATGAAATCTGACCCCATAAGCACTGAGAGACCCCATGTCCTTGGCCTTCTCTACATGTGATGACTAATAGGGACCCATATAAAAAGAAGATAGAGTCACGCTACCCCTGCTCCTCCCATGTAACCACCACCTCAATGAAATATGTCATCATCCTCCCCCCACAAGCCACAAAGTCATCCTTGACTCCCACAAACAAAACCAGCATCTAGTCCTCCGGGCCCCACTCTCTTCCCATCCCTCTCCCACTGCTGCTCTGGCTCTCACTGGCCCCACATTTTCCTCTCCAGACCCAAAGCCCATTGCCTCAGATTTTTCTATGGAGATGCTTTGTGTCATCTCCTCCTGTGGCCCCTCATGATCAGTGGGGTGAAAATCCATCATGGGTTCCTCCAGCTCCAGCCTCATCTCTCACCACATCCTAAAACTGGTGATACTCAACTGCTCTTCAATTACTGAAAAGACAGCTTTCTCTCTTGCCTCTGAGACTGCACAAGTTTTGTCTTTCCTTTGGGATATCTTCCCATTCGCCATCAAACTTTTGCTCATCATTTAAGATTCACATAAGAACCACCTCCTCCAGGAAGCATCCCCTGGTTCCCTCTTCCTTTATCCTGGCCGCCTTTTGTGCCCTTCAGGAAAGTGTTATGATTTTCTCAAATAGGTCCTGTACATTTCTTCCTAGGGTAACTGTACTTGGAACTCCATTTGCTGTTATGTGTAGGATCTGTTGGCCCTATTTTCTAACTGGTTATGGTTTGTATATAAGACAACTGCATTTTTAGTGTTGATCTTGGTATGACAACCTACTAGTCTCCTTTATTAGTTGTAACAGTTCGTTTGCTTGCAGTAGGACCTCAAATGATGTCCCTTAGTGCAACATCATTCATTATAACCTTGATGAGAAAAAAGCAGTAACCTCCTACCAGGACCGCCGTCAGTGGAATTGCATGTTTTCCCCACACCTGCATGGGTTTCCTCTGGGTCTCAGTTTCCTCCCACATTCCAAAGGTGTGCACTTTGCATTCATTGGTGTGTCTCAGTCACCTCAGTCTGAGTGAGTCAGAGAGGGAGAGCAAGTATGTTTGACGTACCCTGTTTTGGAAGAGCCTCCTGTTCAGGGTGGGTTCCGCCCCACACCCCGAACCTTTGGAAGAGGCTCTCGCCACTGGGAATCCTGAACTGACTGGAAAAATGAATGAATGAAGATAAGTGATTTTTTAATATTAGAAGTATTTTGGGTCCTTCTTGGAAGTTTGGTCGTGTTTTTATGAACAGAAATATGTTGTAGAACTTAACTCTTATTTATATCAGTCAGCCTATGGTAAAATTACTTTCATTAGACATCATTTTGTTAAAAGTTGCACTTTCCAGGAATCTATGGACGACATTGAGGACCTTCATTCGTACCTTCTTATTTCCTTCCTTCCCTCC